TTGTTGTCGGCCTCACTGTGGATGATGCATTTGCTTGAGTTGGTGACGGTTCCATCGAAGTCGAAGCAGACTCAGCTGTAGTTGTCGGCTTCACTGTGGAAGATGTATTTGCTGCAGTTGGTGACGGTTCCATCGAAGTCGAAGCAGACTCAGCTGTTGTTGTCGGCCTCACTGTGGATGATGCATTTGCTTGAGTTGGTGACGGTTCCATCGAAGTCGAAGCAGACTCGGTTGTTGTTGTCGGCTTTACTGTGGATGATGCATTTGCTTGAGTTGGTGACGGTTCCATCGAAGTCGAAGCAGACTCAGCTGTAGTTGTCGGCTTCACTGTGGAAGATGTATTTGCTGCAGTTGGTGACGGTTCCATCGAAGTCGAAGCAGACTCAGCTGTAGTTGTCGGCTTCACTGTGGAAGATGCATTTGCCGCAGTTGGTGACGGTTCCATCGAAGCTGAAGCAGACTTGGTTGTTGTTGTCGGCCTCACTGTGGATGATGCATTTGCTTGAGTTGGTGACGGTTCCATCGAAGTCGAAGCAGACTCGGTTGTTGTTGTCGGCTTCACTGTGGAAGATGCATTTGCCGCAGTTGGTGACGGTTCCATCGAAGTCGAAGCAGACTCAGCTGTAGTTGTCGGCTTCACTGTGGAAGATGCATTTGCTGCAGTTGGTGACGGTTCCATCGAAGTCGAAGCAGACTCGGTTGTTGTTGTCGGCTTTACTGTGGATGATGCATTTGCTTGAGTTGGTGACGGTTCCATCGAAGTCGAAGCAGACTCGGTTGTTGTTGTCGGCTTCACTGTGGATGATGCATTTGCTTGAGTTGGTGACGGTTCCATCGAAGTCGAAGCAGACTCGGTTGTTGTTGTCGGCCTTCACTGTGGAAGATGCATTTGCCGCAGTTGGTGACGGTTCCATCGAAGTCGAAGCAGACTCAGCTGTAGTTGTCGGCTTCACTGTGGAAGATGTATTTGCTGCAGTTGGTGACGGTTCCATCGAAGTCGAAGCAGACTCAGCTGTAGTTGTCGGCTTCACTGTGGAAGATGCATTTGCCGCAGTTGGTGACGGTTCCATCGAAGCTCGAAGCAGACTCAGGTTGTTGTTGTCGGCTTCACTGTGGATGATGCATTTGCTTGAGTTGGTGACGGTTCCATCGAAGTCGAAGCAGACTCGGTTGTTGTTGTCGGCCTCACTGTGGATGATGCATTTGCTTGAGTTGGTGACGGTTCCATCGAAGTCGAAGCAGACTCGGTTGTTGTTGTCGGCTTCACTGTGGAAGATGCATTTGCTGCAGTTGGTGACGGTTCCATCGAAGTCGAAGCAGACTCGGTTGTTGTTGTCGGCTTTACTGTGGATGATGCATTTGCTTGAGTTGGTGACGGTTCCATCGAAGTCGAAGCAGACTCAGCTGTAGTTGTCGGCTTCACTGTGGAAGATGCATTTGCTGCAGTTGGTGACGGTTCCATCGAAGTCGAAGCAGACTCGGTTGTTGTTGTCGGCTTTACTGTGGATGATGCATTTGCTTGAGTTGGTGACGGTTCCATCGAAGTCGAAGCAGACTCGGTTGTTGTTGTCGGCCTTCACTGTGGATGATGCATTTGCTTGAGTTGGTGACGGCTCCATCGAAGTCGAAGCAGACTCGGTTGTTGTTGTCGGCTTCACTGTGGAAGATGCATTTGCTGCAGTTGGTGACGGTTCCATCGAAGTCGAAGCAGACTCAGCTGTAGTTGTCGGCTTCACTGTGGAAGATGCATTTGCTGCAGTTGGTGACGGTTCCATCGAAGTCGAAGCAGACTCGGTTGTTGTTGTCGGCTTCACTGTGGAAGATGCATTTGCTTGAGTTGGTGACGGTTCCATCGAAGTCGAAGCAGACTCAGCTGTAGTTGTCGGCTTCACTGTGGAAGATGTATTTGCTGCAGTTGGTGACGGTTCCATCGAAGTCGAAGCAGACTCAGCTGTAGTTGTCGGCTTCACTGTGGAAGATGCATTTGCTGCAGTTGGTGACGGTTCCATCGAAGCTGAAAGCAGACTCGGTTGTTGTTGTCGGCCTCACTGTGGATGATGCATTTGCTTGAGTTGGTGACGGTTCCATCGAAGTCGAAGCAGACTCGGTTGTTGTTGTCGGCCTTCACTGTGGAAGATGCATTTGCTGCAGTTGGTGACGGTTCCATCGAAGTCGAAGCAGACTCAGCTGTAGTTGTCGGCTTCACTGTGGAAGATGCATTTGCTGCAGTTGGTGACGGTTCCATCGAAGTCGAAGCAGACTCGGTTGTTGTTGTCGGCTTTACTGTGGATGATGCATTTGCTTGAGTTGGTGACGGTTCCATCGAAGTCGAAGCAGACTCGGTTGTTGTTGTCGGCTCACTGTGGATGATGCATTTGCTTGAGTTGGTGACGGTTCCATCGAAGTCGAAGCAGACTCGGCTGTTGTTGTCGGCTTCACTGTGGAAGATGCATTTGCTGCAGTTGGTGACGGTTCCATCGAAGTCGAAGCAGACTCAGCTGTAGTTGTCGGCTTCACTGTGGAAGATGTATTTGCTGCAGTTGGTGACGGTTCCATCGAAGTGGAAGCAGACTCAGCTGTAGTTGTCGGCTTCACTGTGGAAGATGCATTTGCTGCAGTTGGTGACGGTTCCATCGAAGTCGAAGCAGACTCAGCTGTAGTTGTCGGCTTCACTGTGGAAGATGCATTTGCTGCAGTTGGTGACGGTTCCATCGAAGTCGAAGCAGACTCGGTTGTTGTTGTCGGCCTTCACTGTGGAAGATGCATTTGCTGCAGTTGGTGACGGTTCCATCGAAGTCGAAGCAGACTCAGCTGTAGTTGTCGGCTTCACTGTGGAAGATGCATTTGCTGCAGTTGGTGACGGTTCCATCGAAGTCGAAGCAGACTCAGCTGTAGTTGTCGGCTTCACTGTGGAAGATGCATTTGCTGCAGTTGGTGACGGTTCCATCGAAGTCGAAGCAGACTCAGCTGTAGTTGTCGGCTTCACTGTGGAAGATGCATTTGCTTGAGTTGGTGACGGTTCCATCGAAGTCGAAGCAGACTCGGTTGTTGTTGTCGGCTTCACTGTGGAAGATGCATTTGCTTGAGTTGGTGACGGTTCCATCGAAGTCGAAGCAGACTCGGTTGTTGTTGTCGGCCTCACTGTGGATGATGCATTTGCTTGAGTTGGTGACGGTTCCATCGAAGTCGAAGCAGACTCGGTTGTTGTTGTCGGCTTCACTGTGGAAGATGCATTTGCCGCAGTTGGTGACGGTTCCATCGAAGTCGAAGCAGACTCAGCTGTAGTTGTCGGCTTCACTGTGGAAGATGTATTTGCTGCAGTTGGTGACGGTTCCATCGAAGTCGAAGCAGACTCAGCTGTAGTTGTCGGCTTCACTGTGGAAGATGCATTTGCTGCAGTTGGTGACGGTTCCATCGAAGTCGAAGCAGGCTCAGCTGTAGTTGTCGGCTTCACTGTGGAAGATGCATTTGCTGCAGTTGGTGACGGCTTCCATCGAAGTCGAAGCAGACTCGGTTGTTGTTGTCGGCCTCACTGTGGAAGATGCATTTGCTGCAGTTGGTGACGGTTCCATCGAAGTCGAAGCAGACTCAGCTGTAGTTGTCGGCTTCACTGTGGAAGATGTATTTGCTGCAGTTGGTGACGGTTCCATCGAAGTCGAAGCAGACTCAGCTGTAGTTGTCGGCTTCACTGTGGAAGATGCATTTGCTGCAGTTGGTGACGGTTCCATCGAAGTCGAAGCAGGCTCAGCTGTAGTTGTCGGCTTCACTGTGGAAGATGCATTTGCTGCAGTTGGTGACGGCTTCCATCGAAGTCGAAGCAGACTCGGTTGTTGTTGTCGGCCTCACTGTGGAAGATGCATTTGCTGCAGTTGGTGACGGTTCCATCGAAGTCGAAGCAGGCTCAGCTGTAGTTGTCGGCTTCACTGTGGAAGATGCATTTGCCGCAGTTGGTGACGGTTCCATCGAAGTCGAAGCAGACTTGGTTGTTGTTGTCGGCCTCACTGTGGATGATGCATTTGCTTGAGTTGGTGACGGTTCCATCGAAGTCGAAGCAGACTCAGCTGTAGTTGTCGGCTTCACTGTGGAAGATGCATTTGCTGCAGTTGGTGACGGTTCCATCGAAGTCGAAGCAGACTCAGCTGTAGTTGTCGGCTTCACTGTGGAAGATGCATTTGCCGCAGTTGGTGACGGTTCCATCGAAGTCGAAGCAGACTCAGCTGTAGTTGTCGGCTTCACTGTGGAAGATGCATTTGCTGCAGTTGGTGACGGTTCCATCGAAGTCGAAGCAGACTCGGTTGTTGTTGTCGGCTTCACTGTGGAAGATGCATTTGCTGCAGTTGGTGACGGTTCCATCGAAGTCGAAGCAGACTCGGTTGTTGTTGTCGGCTTCACTGTGGAAGATGCATTTGCTGCAGTTGGTGACGGTTCCATCGAAGTCGAAGCAGACTCAGCTGTAGTTGTCGGCTTCACTGTGGAAGATGCATTTGCCGCAGTTGGTGACGGTTCCATCGAAGTCGAAGCAGACTTGGTTGTTGTTGTCGGCCTCACTGTGGATGATGCATTTGCTTGAGTTGGTGACGGTTCCATCGAAGTCGAAGCAGACTCAGCTGTAGTTGTCGGCTTCACTGTGGAAGATGTATTTGCTGCAGTTGGTGACGGTTCCATCGAAGTCGAAGCAGACTCAGCTGTTGTTGTCGGCCTCACTGTGGATGATGCATTTGCTTGAGTTGGTGACGGTTCCATCGAAGTCGAAGCAGACTCGGTTGTTGTTGTCGGCTTCACTGTGGAAGATGCATTTGCTGCAGTTGGTGACGGTTCCATCGAAGTCGAAGCAGACTCGGTTGTTGTTGTCGGCTTCACTGTGGAAGATGCATTTGCTGCAGTTGGTGACGGTTCCATCGAAGTCGAAGCAGGCTCAGCTGTAGTTGTCGGCTTCACTGTGGAAGATGCATTTGCCGCAGTTGGTGACGGTTCCATCGAAGCTGAAGCAGACTTGGTTGTTGTTGTCGGCCTCACTGTGGATGATGCATTTGCTTGAGTTGGTGACGGTTCCATCGAAGTCGAAGCAGACTCAGCTGTAGTTGTCGGCTTCACTGTGGAAGATGTATTTGCTGCAGTTGGTGACGGTTCCATCGAAGTCGAAGCAGACTCAGCTGTTGTTGTCGGCCTCACTGTGGATGATGCATTTGCTTGAGTTGGTGACGGTTCCATCGAAGTCGAAGCAGACTCGGTTGTTGTTGTCGGCTTTACTGTGGATGATGCATTTGCTTGAGTTGGTGACGGTTCCATCGAAGTCGAAGCAGACTCAGCTGTAGTTGTCGGCTTCACTGTGGAAGATGCATTTGCTGCAGTTGGTGACGGTTCCATCGAAGTCGAAGCAGACTCAGCTGTAGTTGTCGGCTTCACTGTGGAAGATGCATTTGCCGCAGTTGGTGACGGTTCCATCGAAGCTGAAGCAGACTTGGTTGTTGTTGTCGGCCTCACTGTGGATGATGCATTTGCTTGAGTTGGTGACGGTTCCATCGAAGTCGAAGCAGACTCGGTTGTTGTTGTCGGCTTCACTGTGGAAGATGCATTTGCCGCAGTTGGTGACGGTTCCATCGAAGTCGAAGCAGACTCAGCTGTAGTTGTCGGCTTCACTGTGGAAGATGCATTTGCTGCAGTTGGTGACGGTTCCATCGAAGTCGAAGCAGACTCGGTTGTTGTTGTCGGCTTTACTGTGGATGATGCATTTGCTTGAGTTGGTGACGGTTCCATCGAAGTCGAAGCAGACTCAGCTGTAGTTGTCGGCTTCACTGTGGAAGATGCATTTGCTGCAGTTGGTGACGGTTCCATCGAAGTCGAAGCAGACTCGGTTGTTGTTGTCGGCTTTACTGTGGAAGATGCATTTGCTTGAGTTGGTGACGGTTCCATCGAAGTCGAAGCAGACTCGGTTGTTGTTGTCGGCCTCACTGTGGATGATGCATTTGCTTGAGTTGGTGACGGTTCCATCGAAGTCGAAGCAGACTCAGCTGTAGTTGTCGGCTTCACTGTGGAAGATGTATTTGCTGCAGTTGGTGACGGTTCCATCGAAGTCGAAGCAGACTCAGCTGTTGTTGTCGGCTTCACTGTGGAAGATGCATTTGCTTGAGTTGGTGACGGTTCCATCGAAGTCGAAGCAGACTCAGCTGTAGTTGTCGGCTTCACTGTGGAAGATGCATTTGCTGCAGTTGGTGACGGTTCCATCGAAGTCGAAGCAGACTCAGCTGTAGTTGTCGGCTTCACTGTGGAAGATGCATTTGCCGCAGTTGGTGACGGTTCCATCGAAGCTGAAGCAGACTTGGTTGTTGTTGTCGGCCTCACTGTGGAAGATGCATTTGCTGCAGTTGGTGACGGTTCCATCGAAGTCGAAGCAGACTCAGCTGTTGTTGTCGGCCTCACTGTGGATGATGCATTTGCTTGAGTTGGTGACGGTTCCATCGAAGTCGAAGCAGACTCGGTTGTTGTTGTCGGCTTTACTGTGGATGATGCATTTGCTTGAGTTGGTGACGGTTCCATCGAAGTCGAAGCAGACTCAGCTGTAGTTGTCGGCTTCACTGTGGAAGATGTATTTGCTGCAGTTGGTGACGGTTCCATCGAAGTCGAAGCAGACTCAGCTGTAGTTGTCGGCTTCACTGTGGAAGATGCATTTGCCGCAGTTGGTGACGGTTCCATCGAAGCTGAAGCAGACTTGGTTGTTGTTGTCGGCCTCACTGTGGATGATGCATTTGCTTGAGTTGGTGACGGTTCCATCGAAGTCGAAGCAGACTCAGCTGTAGTTGTCGGCTTCACTGTGGAAGATGTATTTGCTGCAGTTGGTGACGGTTCCATCGAAGTCGAAGCAGACTCAGCTGTAGTTGTCGGCTTCACTGTGGAAGATGCATTTGCTGCAGTTGGTGACGGTTCCATCGAAGTCGAAGCAGACTCGGTTGTTGTTGTCGGCTTTACTGTGGATGATGCATTTGCTTGAGTTGGTGACGGTTCCATCGAAGTCGAAGCAGACTCGGTTGTTGTTGTCGGCTTCACTGTGGAAGATGCATTTGCCGCAGTTGGTGACGGTTCCATCGAAGTCGAAGCAGACTCAGCTGTAGTTGTCGGCTTCACTGTGGAAGATGCATTTGCCGCAGTTGGTGACGGTTCCATCGAAGCTGAAGCAGACTCGGTTGTTGTTGTCGGCCTCACTGTGGATGATGCATTTGCTTGAGTTGGTGACGGTTCCATCGAAGTCGAAGCAGACTCAGCTGTAGTTGTCGGCTTCACTGTGGAAGATGCATTTGCTGCAGTTGGTGACGGTTCCATCGAAGTCGAAGCAGACTCAGCTGTAGTTGTCGGCTTCACTGTGGAAGATGTATTTGCTGCAGTTGGTGACGGTTCCATCGAAGTCGAAGCAGACTCAGCTGTTGTTGTCGGCCTCACTGTGGATGATGCATTTGCTTGAGTTGGTGACGGTTCCATCGAAGTCGAAGCAGACTCGGTTGTTGTTGTCGGCTTTACTGTGGATGATGCATTTGCTTGAGTTGGTGACGGTTCCATCGAAGTCGAAGCAGACTCAGCTGTAGTTGTCGGCTTCACTGTGGAAGATGTATTTGCTGCAGTTGGTGACGGTTCCATCGAAGTCGAAGCAGACTCAGCTGTAGTTGTCGGCTTCACTGTAGGAAGATGCATTTGCCGCAGTTGGTGACGGTTCCATCGAAGCTCGAAGCAGACTTGGTTGTTGTTGTCGGCCTCACTGTGGATGATGCATTTGCTTGAGTTGGTGACGGTTCCATCGAAGTCGAAGCAGACTCGGTTGTTGTTGTCGGCTTCACTGTGGAAGATGCATTTGCTGCAGTTGGTGACGGTTCCATCGAAGTCGAAGCAGACTCAGCTGTAGTTGTCGGCTTCACTGTGGAAGATGCATTTGCTGCAGTTGGTGACGGTTCCATCGAAGTCGAAGCAGACTCGGTTGTTGTTGTCGGCTTTACTGTGGATGATGCATTTGCTTGAGTTGGTGACGGTTCCATCGAAGTCGAAGCAGACTCAGCTGTAGTTGTCGGCTTCACTGTGGAAGATGTATTTGCTGCAGTTGGTGACGGTTCCATCGAAGTCGAAGCAGACTCAGCTGTAGTTGTCGGCTTCACTGTGGAAGATGCATTTGCTGCAGTTGGTGACGGTTCCATCGAAGTCGAAGCAGACTCGGTTGTTGTTGTCGGCTTTACTGTGGAAGATGCATTTGCTGCAGTTGGTGACGGTTCCATCGAAGTCGAAGCAGACTCGGTTGTTGTTGTCGGCCTCACTGTGGAAGATGCATTTGCTGCAGTTGATGACGACTTTATTGTGGGAGAGGCAGGCCCTGGAGTTGTCGACGGTTTTATTGTTGGAGAAGCAGGTCCAGGCGAGGGCTTCTTTGTGGAGGAAGAAGGTTCAGTAGTCGTCGTCACCGGAAAAGTGGTCGAAATATGGTCTGTTGTCTCCGTAAGCATCGTATTGATGGAAGTAGATCCTGTTTTCATCGGTGGTGTCGTGCTTGTTGGTATCGATTCTCTTGTTAATGTGGACGATACTGTTTTGGATGTGGAACCTCTTGTCGTCGTGAGAGTTACGGAAGTAGAATCAGTCATCTTGGATGGTTTTGTCGTTTTCGAAATCGATTCAGTAGTTCCATGTGACGACGTAGTAGTCGATGTAGACTCTGTTGTCGTGGATGGTGTCGTGCTTGTTGAAGTGAATTCTGTTGTTGTTGCTGTTGTTGTCGTCGTTTTCTGCACCGGAATAGTCGACGTAACTTTAGTTGTCGTCGTCTGCGCCGAAGTAGACTTTGATGTCGTCGTTGAAAACGTGACCGTGGATTTAGTTGTTGTTGTCTTAGATAAAGCAGTGCTAGGAGAACTCTGTTCGATTGTCGTCGCTTTAGCACTTGTTGGAATACTTGTACTTGAATGGCGGTGGGCACGGTTGCAGCGGATTTTGTTGAAGCGTTCACCCTTCCTCGTGTACCATTTTCCCTCCCTGCAATACACTTCTTCTCTAATCACTGGAGAAGACTGAAGCCGCTCCCATTTTCCTTTTCCTTTGATGTCTAGCGTAGTGTCATAACCCGGAGCCACGCACTGTATTGTCGCTTTTCCATTGCATGTTCTTCTCGTATACCTGAAAAATATGTTCATACATAGACTAAGTAAGCATTCATTGTAGACAAGTAAATGAATCTTTAAAACTATTGTGTTCTGCTCTGGATTTACATGCAACTTGCAAAACAGCTCTCTGGAAAACTTTTTTTCCATCAGGTAGTGAATTGCAGTTTAACTGGCTCAGTGAGAATGCATTGAAATTCATCCAAACCATTCAGTTTGCACCTTGCCAACTCTACTGCTGGATATCAGCATAAGAATTAACTTTTGACGTCTGAGTTACTGATATACAAAGCACCTGACTGATCAGCCTTCACTCAGGTAGAAACAGGTATTTATTTTCGTCGACCGGAACAACCATGCTAACCTCTCTATAGTGTTAAGTATCAGCTCATCTCGTGAATGGACACACTTTGGCTGGTTTAATGTGGAGAAAGAACTGTGGGAACGTCCAGTCAGCTAGAATTTTTCATTTAACTGACTTGCGTAGACTATCTTATATCCAATTGCTTCTTAGCTATTCCATCGCTTTTATACTTCACTGTAAAGCGATACGAGCACCAGCATCGGTCGGACATTTGTGGGCGGGCGAGCGCGGTGGGAGTTCGGGTCGTAATATTGCAGTTTGATATGGCGCTATCAGGGTGCATTTCTTGCGGGATGCGCCACGCAGCGCCTGCTCAGAGGCGTCGAGCTCTTTCCTGCTAGGTGTATTGAACATCATCGGGATTTGTTGTGCCACTTGCCTTTAACTTCCACTGCAGTGCTGGCCGTCTCACAAAAGGGCTGCGTGGCATTTGTCAGAGATTCTCCTTTCTCACCTCTATCGCTCCTTGGCAAGCTTGCCCATGGTCGTCTTACCTAATTATTTGCTCGATTACTCCTGATCTTTCGTCAACAAGCACTGCTGAGCCAAATATGGCAACGAAAGCCGCAGGGAAGAATAATAATAAACGCATAAACTGTGGAAAAAATTGATATTACGATGGTTTGGTAAATGTGTTATAAAGGTAGAGATGGGAGTGAAGCGGTTTGTCCGTCTTTGAGAGCACGAAGCAGAACTGGAGCAAGGCTGAACTATTCTCAGTACATCGCACGAGCTGGATTAGAATCTGCAAAACCGGTGAAGAAACAAAGTGGTACGAGTGAGAGAGTGGTTCCATAGTGGTAGTGGGAAAAAGCTTATGGTAAAATGTCTAAGTAAAACGAGAGGCATGCTCGATAGTATAAGGCTGTCAGAGAATGACGAGCTCATGCAAAATGAAGAAGCTCGGTTAGCAGTGGTTCGAGCGACATCAGATGGAAAGGGGTTGTTCGCGTTGAGAGATCAGGAAAAAGTGATTAATTGATGATAAATGAGCAAAGCTGACCGATGCTGTCGGGATGATATACTTGATTCAAGCTTTACTCAGATGGGGTATACAAATAACAGTGGTTTTCTTCCTAAACAGCCTTTTGGATTGATTATATGGGATGACCTTTTCAATAAGTGTGAGGTTGGTAAACGGGGATTGATGATGGTCTAAAGTACTAAGAGTTGTGCAAATGAAATTAACATTACCTGTGGCGAGCTGCAGTCTAGCCGCTTCAATTATGCCGATTCTTATCGAGACCCAGTAAACCGTAACCCGGGGGCCATCTCGTAACTCACACTTCGAATCGGTATTCTTACTACCCTGGCTGACGTGTTCAGCCTCGAGGAACAAGGATAGATCTTGATACCTCAAAATCACAGTTACATGATTTACTATGGAGCAATTATGGTATGACACATTATGACACAACTACTTTGTAAGACCGACAGACCATACAAGCGGCATTTTGTCATGGAAATTGTTAACAGAATTGTCCCATTGCCAGGAACATTGAATTTATCCTTGCTGTGATTGGATACACACCATTTTTCTTGAAAGATTGAAACGAATTGGTTAATTTGAGTCTCTAACAAGGGAGGTCGTTCAGGGCGTGGTGCGCTTTTCGAAAACGGTTTTTTGCATATTGTAGGGGCTCATGCAAGGACCTGAAAAGTGTGCTTCATTTTCGCTGCGCGCTTCCAGGAAAGGTAAAAAACGAGTGAAAAGAAATCTTTGGAATCTGCTTCGTTCTGGGCCTCTATACGGCGTAGGTCACTTGCAACTTTGACCAGTTGCTGAGTGGGGGGTCCTTATAAAGGGGCTATTTGAATCGAAGCGAAAAATCGCCGCAAGTGAGCTTCCAACTTGGGTCATGTGCTCAAGGGTGAACGGCTTCTTGCAATGGTTTCATCAACGATAAGAGCGCTAGCAGTGTCGAGCATCGGATGGCCTAGCGGATAGAGTGAAGGTTTCGCAATCGGACAGTGAGGGTGGGGTTGATGGTTCGGCTCCCCTTGCGTCGTGGCTTTTTGCATTTTTTAGATTTCGCTGTTCTCGCTTCCATTTGTGTCTGCGCATGAATATAACTCGGATATTTGCCATTTATGGGCACATTCTGAGTAGCTGTACCTCATGAGTCAGTGCTATTCAACTATTTCGATTCTCACGCACCATTGAGCAAGATTGTTGCTGGACGTTGATCCTCATACAATGGATCTGATTGCGAATTTAGTAATTCTGGTGTGGTGCGATTATAGACAATTTGGGGCCACATCTTCTTTCCACTGAATTCGTTATGTACACCAATATAGGGAACGTTCAGCGCTATTCTGTCGCCAGATTGCGTGGACGCCAAGAATAGGTTATATTTGTGATCAGGACCACTGATTAACGAATTTTTGGTTAAAACAATTGTTTTGACCTTCTTGGGTTTGCTTATTGGGTTGTCCGGGTCCGTAGCGTCAACGATACGTCATCGCTGTTACGAAGATGTGAGACTCCGCTCACACTGCCGACCAAATGGTCACCTACAACCCGAAAAAGTCAAAAAAAATTTTTTCGCTCAAAACTTGCTCCTAGGGGTAATCGACAGTCCTGATCACGATTCTAGACTTTATTTTCGGTTCCAGTGCCATCTGGCACCGGCATAGCGCCGAAGAGCTGAGTCTGTGCATACTAACGAATTCGAACGAAAAAGCAGTTTTGCTCCATAAAAGTAGGATTGTTCAGTTTATCGTGAATGTTTTTGTTAGGACCAATTATTTAGACAAACATGGATCCAAAAAATGAAAAATTGTAGAAAAGCAAAATTTTGTCCTCGGTGGGATCCGAACCATCGACCTATTTTTTACGTTTTTTTATTCGTAGAAGCGCGCAGCGAAAATGAACCTCAGTTTTCTGGTCCTCGTATGTGCCCCTACAATATGCACAAGACCATTTTGAAAAAGCTCACCACGCCCTGAACGACCTCCCTTGTAAGAGCAGCATACTACAAAAACAAGTCGACTTACGTAACAATTGGTTGGACGCAGCTAGTCATTCCAGGTTTGCAGTTCGTCAATGAAATCCATGGACACTCGGCGCAATCTGGAATACGAAAATAAAATTGGAAAGTGGATATGGTTTTCAGTGGTTTACCTTACCTCTCTCACCATGTGGCATATCCCTGATGTCGTGAGGAAAGTAGGGTTCCTGCGGACGAAATCTCCATTCGATTATTGGCGGAATCGGGAGCGGCTAAATCGTAGTAAGGACAGTAGAAGTATTTCATTGCGCATATAGTGTACTGAAAAACTACTATGGTTTTGAGAAGGGTACGGGTGAGTAGAACCAAATCCAAATAAAACCTTACAGTCTAATAGTGAACTTTCACTCATTAATTCGAATTTTCTCTCGAATAGTTCTGCTGCAGTCATCCCTAGTGCGGTAAACCTGAGCATGAGCTCTTGCGATGGCACGGACGGCACGGGCGTGAACGAAGCAAGGTGAAGTCCCGAAGTGGTAATTGCAGTAAGTAAGTGAACGTGATCGTAGTAATGACGACGGTTAACGAAAGCGAGTTTTTCAATTCTACATGCCTCAGTTCTTAGTACTTTAAACCTAAGCTTTGAAGATAATAATTACGTCACGTAAGTTGAGGTACTCTAAGCTGATCAGCCTCTAATTCAAACGATTCTTTTCGTGTTTCCATCGAAGACAGTCCCGCGCTCAAACACCTTGCAGGGGTTCATTCAGGTAGTATCGTCCGCAGTCTACAAGATTGTACCGCATTCGGGGCTTCGTAAGTAACAAAGACTGCGACCGTCATAGGTAGCAGATTTGGCGCCTCCCTAGTTGTACCGCTCACCAAAGCTCAAAGGCTTTCCTGTCAGTTCAATTCAGTTTTTACCAACCCGTTTTTCGTTCTTTCCTGTCAAATGGTATGAAATGCGATAAAGGATGAGTGAGAAGAAGGCGGCAGAATCTTGCCTGCCACTTATTGTTAGTGCTATAGAATCAAAATTTAACGTAATTGTCCGCAATATACAGTCGCGGGATTTGTCTTCAAAAAGCTTTTAGAAACAGAACGTTTTTGAAGGCTCTACCTGTCTAGGCGCAGCTCTTCCTGCATTCCGACTAGCACCTTCTCCTGCGTTATGATAAGCAGATCTTCCTCCACTCCGACGGGCAGCTCTTTCTTTTTGATACGGAGATCGTCCTTTGTTCCGATAGGCAACTGCTCCTCCAGAGTCGTAGAGCACGAGAAAGATAACGACTAAAACTCGAAATACTTTCATCAATACAAGGCACTGATACTGTAATCTGAGCGTTTTTATATTCACACAATATTAATTCAAATAGCAATGTAATGACTGTCCAAAAGACATGTTCAGGATTGGAATGTTTTAATAATTGCTTCAGTGATGAAATAATGTTGCTGTCTCAATATTGTCAGCTGCAGGGCAATCACTGATACTAGCATGTTCCATCATCTTATGAAGAACCAAATATCGTTCTATTGCTCCAGCGAAAACATCAAGAGTATGTTTGTCATGTTCTCTTACATACAGTATCTGTTATTTTTGATAGAAGTTCCTAGAATTCCGGCGACACTCTGATTATGATTTTCGACCAAATTTTCCTTCACTAAAACACCTCCAATCTACTGGGATTGTTTATGGAAACAGTAATAACACATATGAA